ACGGAGGCTCCTCCCCATTCAGAAGCTGATTGATTCAAAATATTTTCTGAATGAATGGAAAGCCTCTGTACTTTCCATTCATTTAGAACAGAGGCTGCAGAAAAAGAGATTGAGGACTCTATGTCCTCAATTTCTTTTTCTATTTTAAAATGGAAATATCAGGGGGCTGTTTAGACTCCTAATATTTCCCCGAAGCCCCCCCCAACAGTAAAAGAAAAACTGAAAAATAATCCCGAGCCACACTCTGGAATACCGACAGGAAGGTTAAGGTAAGTCCTTAAAGCAGCATGGCGGGGGGATAAAAAAAATGTGTGACGTTAATGTCACTGTAAGGCTTCCCCTGTAACAGTCTGCAGCAGCCAAGACAGAAAGGAATACACTGTCTAAAATCTCTCTGCCAACTGAGCGTGCTCAGGAAACTCCAGCTCAGTTCATTCCTCCTGCTGAATGCCATGCCTCCTGGGAATTGTAGTTTTAACAGTTCATTACAGCACAGTCTCTTCCTGGCTTTGCACTGCAACTCCCACAAGTCGCTGTGTCTCACAGGCTGCACAGTAACCAGTAACTATTTACAGGCAGAATACATTTAATCATTGTTGGGGAAATTAACCGGGACGGCTGAGGCGGTGCCCTTTTCGAGATCTCTGGAACAAATCTAGAACTACAAAGAGGCAGGTTCAATACGTGTTCAATGTATTCAATGAATCTTCTCCGGTTATATAGTAGTACAGAAAGAAGGAAATGCTGAATCATCGTTTAAACATAATGGGGGGAATTTATCAAAACTGGAGCAAACAGAATCAGGAGCAGTTGCCCATGGCAACCAATCAGCATCTCTCTACAGTTTGCTCAGGTAAGATTTGAAAATGAGAGAGAGATGCTGATTGGCTACAGTGCAAATCTGCTCCAGATTTTGTCAGCTCCAGTTTTGATAAATCCCCCCCAATGCCTTTTAAGTACATAGGTTTTTAGTGCAAAGAGTCTCTTGCGAAAATGAGGTAGAAAATAGGGAACTTTAAAACACTGAGTCTGTTAAACACACACTCTTCCCTGTTGTCACATTCACATGCAGAACACAAAATACAAGTTGAAACTGTTTGCAGAAGAGAACCTGTCATATTAAGAAAATCATGGCTACATCCCCCCTTTCAATCATGTACTCTATAAGTCTATAGGGGCTGCACATGTATAAGTAAATTATCATTTTTGGATGCCATTAGTACATGTCCTACTGTATATTGCCGCCCTATATAAGAGCATATTAAATAGCTGTTCCTATAAAAGACTGTACTGTATGTGGCCGCCCCTATGTATTACATCGCATCAAAGGAAGGAGAGTGTAACTGCGTACTTTTTATGGCTGTCCCTATGTAAGAGCATACTGTAATAGGCATCCCTATAAAAGAGTGTACTGTACATGGCCATCCCTATGTACTACATTGTATAATAGGAACGGAGTGTGTACGAACCTACTGTACATGGCCATCCCTATGTACTACATTGTATAATAGGGACGGAGTGTGTACGAACCTACTGTATATGGCCATCCCCATGTACTACCTTGTATAATAGGGACTGAGTGTGTACGAACCTATTGTATATGGCCGCCCCTATATACTACATTGCATAATAGGGACAGAGTGTGTAAATGGATATTGTATATGGCCATCCCCATGTACTACATTGTATAATAGGGACGGAGTGTGTACAAGCCTATTGTATATGGCCGCCCCTATATACTACCTTGTATAATAGGGACTGAGTGTGTACGAACCTATTGTATATGGCCGCCCCTATATACTACATTGCATAATAGGGACTGAGTGTGTAAGAGGATATTGTATATGGCCATCCCCATCTACTACATTGTATAATAGTGACGGAGTGTGTACGAATCTACTGTATATGGCCGTCCCCATGTACTACATTGTATAATAGGGACGGAGTGTGTACAAGCCTATTGTATATGGCCACCCCTATATACTACATTGTATAATAGGGACGGAGTGTGTACAAGCCTATTGTATATGGCCGTCCCTATATACTACATTGCATAATAGGGACTGAGTGTGTAAGAGGATATTGTATATGGCCGTCCCCATATTCTACATTGTATAATAGGGACAGAGTGTGTACGAACCTACTGTATATGGCCGTCCCTATATACTACATTGCATAATAGGGACGGAGTGTGTACGAACCTACTGTATATGGCCATCCCTATATAGTACATTGTATAATAGGGACGGAGTGTGTACGAACCTACTGTATATGGCCGTCCCTATATACTACATTGCATAATAGGGACGGAGTGTGTACGAGCCTATTGTATATGCCCGTACTTATGTATTACATTGCATCATGGGGGCTGAGCTGACAATGGTCTGGTGTACTCTACTCTAATTGAATCTGTTTTCCCTTTAGGGGGAAATTGGAGAATTTGATGAGGTGGCTGTTTACTTCTCTCAGGAGGAATGGGAATGTTTAAACACAGAAGAAAAAGAAATGTACAAAGAGGTGATGATGGAGAATTATCGGACCCTCCAGTCTCTGGGTAGGTGCTCTGATATTAGAACATGCTGTTCAGTTCAGTGTTCTTTTGTTTGATGATCTCCTCTTAGAATGATCACTGGGCGATTTTGGTTACTCGTGAATGTGGGAAATAATGTAATAACTATTATTGTACATACACAGGGCGGATCATTGTGAAACCCTCCGTGATAGCAATGATTGAGAACGGTAAGGAGCCGTGTGTAAGCAACCTTCATCATTCAATGGCAGACATCCCAACCTGCAAAACCTTATTTCAGGGAGGTGCCCTTCTCATTTCAGGGAGATACCGTCTGTTTTTTTTATTTTGACAGCGGCCGTCGGCCACCTTCACAATAAAAAAAATAAACAGCAAGGGAATGAATAGCTAGGCTGCTATTGGTCATTTCAAATTGCAATAGCCAATAGCAGGCTTGCTCTTGTACCCACCCACTGCTGCCGTCAATCAGCAGAGGAGCACCTCAGGTCCACCTCTGCTGATTTACAACAGCAGCATATAATATTAATAATCACAAATAAAATATAAAACATTATTTAATTAATAATAACATAAAAAATAATATAATAAATGGAGAAAGAAGTTCTTGGAAACATCACTATAGGTCAGTATTGTCATTGAAGCACTTTCCTCTTTTCAAAATGACTGAAATGTAAGTTGTAAATATGAAGGCTATAGCTTAAGAATCCAAATACCTCCATAAAGAGATTGGCTTATATACATATAGGAATATACAGTAGATCACATCCATGATTGCAGGTTTAAAGAGCATTTCCAAAGGGAGGACAGAGGTGATACACGGTGCTATGCATTTATAAAAGGTACACGTCTTATATGACTGTTTAAAGGTCATAGACTATCCTTATCTTTCAAGTATCCAGTCTGGGTGTTAAAGAAAAAGTATTGCGACAGTAAAATATACTCTTCCCAATAGACAAAAGCTGTCTCACGCCAGCTCTATATACCCAGTGCTGAGCAATCCTATAACTGCTGATCGCTCAGCTCACGGTTTCTCGATGCAGAGGAAGCGTCTGTAAGTCACTGCTCCCCGCAGGGATTTCCCCTTCCCCTCTCTGTTTCTCCAGCGATCATTAGAAGGACAGACAAGGGAGGGGCTGGACACAGCTGGTTGCTCTAGATTGGCAGGGATAACTGTCATGACAATATTGTTGGGAGTCTTCCCAACTTTAGAGCAGCAGTAGCCCACTTACTTTGTGCTTACTTTGTGTTTCAGAAGTATATTAGTAAAAAAATAAAATTAATACACACACACCATCCCAGTCTTAGTCCGTAGGGTTCAGTATTGAGTTGGCTCCACCCTTTGCCGCTATAACAGCTTCAACTCTTCTGGGAAAGCGTTCACAAGGTTTAGGAGTGTGTCTATGAGAATGTTGGACTATTTGTGAGGTCAGGTACTGATGTTGGAGGAGAAGGCCTGGCTCGCAGTCTCCGATCTAATTCATCCCAAAGGTGTTCTATCGGGTTGAGGTCAGGACTCTGTGCAGGCCAGTCAGGTTCCTCCACCCCAAACTCCCTCATCCATGTCTTTATGGACCTTGCTTTGTGCACTGGTGCGCAGTCATGTTGGAGCAGCAAGGGGCCATCCCCAAACTGTTCCCACAAAGTTGGGAGCATAAAATTGTCCTAAATAGCTTGGTATGCTGATGCCTCAAGAATTCCATTCACTGGAACTAAGGGGCCAAGCCCAACCCTTGAAAAACAACCCCCCCCTAATCCCCCCTCCACCAAACTTTACACTTGGCACAATGCAGTCAGGCAAGTGCCGTTCTCCTGGCAACCGCCAAACCCAGACACGTCCATCGGATTGCCAGACAGAGAAGCGTGATTGGTCACTCCAGAGAACATAATTATTTTAAGCAGATTAAGGAAGCCAGATATTCTTTAGTAGAAGTTAGGCATTCTACCCGTCCTACTTAATCAGTGCTGGTGGAAAAGTAAAGACCGTGTTATTTCTAAAGGCCTGTCATGAAAGTGAGCTCTTCTTAAAGACTGGTTTACTTGAGTTGTATAATCTTGTGTAGATGTACATGATTGTTCACGGTGAAATTCTCTCCTTCTATTTTTGCTTGCAGGTGCATCCCAGACTTCTTCCAAGGGACACCCTGAGGACATTATGTTAGAGAACAACTGTGTACCTGAAGATGGAAGCCATGCCACGAGCCCAAAAAAGGGGACAACGAAGACTAGGAAACCAAAGTCAAGGAGAAGTAGTAAACTCCTCTCACAACCATCAATGAAAATTGAGAAACCAAAACAGAAAAGTTGTAAGGTGAAGTATAGGGACCGTTGTGTCAGAGAAGTAAATACTTCAGAGGGGAGAGCTAAGAGGACGTGTTCACAAAGTAAAACATCGGTCTGTCCAAAATGTGGTTTAGCTTTCCAGAGCAAATCTGAACTTCAAATACATAAATGTTCTTCCGATAATGAGAAGCCATATTGGTGCTCAGAATGTGGGAAAAGCCTCTCCAACAAAGGAAGCCTCAGGGTACATCTTCGAAGTCACACTGGAGAGAAGCCTTACCCATGTTCTGAATGTGGGAAATGTTTTACCAATAAGGGTGATTTAGAAAAGCACAAATGGGTCCACATTGACTATAGACCGCATGCTTGTAGCGAATGTGGGAAAACGTTTAGAACTAGGTCCAGTTTAATGATTCATTCCAGAACTCACACAGGAGAGCGTCCTTTTCCTTGCCCTGTATGTGGGAAGTGTTTCATCAAGAAGTCCAAGCTTTCCAACCACCAACTAGTTCACTCAAGTGAAAGGCCTTTTTCCTGTTCAGTTTGTGGGAAAAGCTTTAAGGACAGGAGTCGATGCAAGGTCCATGAGAAAAGCCATGCTGCTGAAAAGCCATTCCCTTGTTCAGAATGTGAAAAACGATTCACTACGAAGGCTCAACTGGTAAATCATTTTAAAAGCCACACTGGGGAAAGACCATTTACATGTTCTGAGTGCGGGAAGGGTTTTTCTACAAGTGCAAGCCTCAAACAACACCAGAGATGTCATTCAAAAGAAAAGCCTCATAAATGTCCGGAATGTGACTCGGCTTTCAATAGTGTAGCTTACCTTAACATACATATGAGGCTTCATACCGGTGATGGACTTTTCACCTGCTCTGAGTGTGGGAAAATGTTTAGTTCAAAGTCAAATCTTCATAAGCATCAGGAAATTCACACAGGAGAAAGACGATTTGAATGTCATGAATGTGGTAAACGCTTTTTTGAACACTCTGCTCTGGTTGTACATCTCAGAAGCCACACCGGGGAGCGGCCTTTTGAGTGTTCTGAATGTGGGAAGACTTTTATCACAAAATCCCACCTCACTGTCCATAAAAGATTACACACGGGGGTAAAGCCCTTCTCATGTACAGAATGTGGTAAATCCTTTATTTGTAGACAAATACTGGAGGAACATCTCAGAGTCCACACAGGAGAGAAGCCCTACACGTGTTTGGAGTGTGGAAGGAGCTTCAGCACCAAAAAAAAACTTTCAAAGCATGAGCTTTGCCACACCGGTGAGAAGCCATTTGGCTGTACAAAGTGCGGGAAACATTTTGCTCGTAATGATGAATGCAAGAAGCATATGGTGAGCAAACATTCCGAGAAGGGGAAAGATAAGCAGTGATAAACCAATCTTCATTTTAATCTATTTGGCTGGTTTACGTCCACCACGTGTCAGAAAAAAGGTTAACTTTGTATCTCCATACAGTATATCCAGGTATCTATCCATGATACATTGCCTTTGTACACTCTCCACACTGTACCAGGGGTATCCATAACAGGGACAGGGATACAGGGATATCCATACAAAAATAGTGCACATAGTCAGCAATACAGTACAAACCAGGGCACATATTGTCAGTGCAAATAACAGGCATGAACTCTGGAGGTATGGATCCTGTAACTTTTCATTTTTCATCAACAATTACATCAATAGACAGAAAAGGTAACATGTAAACACAATATGGATAGTAAAAGGCACGTGCATCCCATCCGTCTCCTGCAGAAGGCCGCGTACCCGTGTTTTTACACATAATACTAAGAGTTGATTTTCTCTGCTCTATCATGTGACCCCGTGTCTGAAACTGTGATAACACACCTCCATAAAAGGTGGTTATTATTATATGTATATATTTCAATGTGTCATAATAAATAGCAGAATTGGTTCTTGAGACACTTGGAGTCTTGTCTTTCTGTTCCACTCACTGCAATGTTTCATCACTTGTTTATTATCATCTGGTACCGCTAATCGACTCTTTGCACACTTTTGCTGTGCCTGAAAAATTCTCCAACACACATTAATCTGATACCGAATGGCATCTTGCACTACTTCATACTATATCCTCCATCATTAAATTATTTTACTTTAAAGTATCTAGAAAAGTGTGATTATTACTGAACAGGCAAGGTCGGGGTTAGTACAATGTTTTGTCAGGCAGGAGAGGAGTGGTGGAGTATGATGACGGGCAGTACGTGTACAGATTTAGTAGTGGTGAGGAGGGTATAATAGAGGGCAATATGTACAGTAGAAGGGTGTGGATGGAACTGTGGCAGGGAGTGTGGTGGGTATGACAGCGGGCAGTATGTGAAGTGCAGAGGGGAGAGGCACAACGTCCGAACTTGTGTCTATTACAGAAACCTTTCGGATTCAGATGGGAGCCGGAAGAACAGCTGCTGATGTATTTTCCAGCAGTAGCTCAATGGAGCTTGCACACAATTAGGGGCGGATCCAGAGCAGTGGCGTCACAAGGGGGGTACGGCCCGCACCCGGGTGACACCATTGGAGGGGTGACACCATTGGAGGGGTGACACCAAAATGACTTAGTCATTTTGGTGTCACCCCCCCTCTGAAAAGTCGGGCGCTCGGTCATGGACCGAACGCCCGACAGTATCAGGAGAGAGGAGGGGACCCGGTGGCATACCTTATCCCTCCTTGCAGATTTAGTGGGGGGGGGCCGAGTTTTGTCTTACCTAGGGCAGCCCCAAACCAGAATACACCACTACATACATCCGATACCACAGGGACATTGCCCAGGAACTCTAAACTGCTGTCCCTTGAGCCAATGCCCACAGATCACATCGCTTTTTAGACAGTAACACCCAGGTGCTAAGAGAGTGATAACATGGGATCCCCACCCTTTCCTGGGAAGTACCCCAAAATGTGTGGGCCATGGACATGGGATTGAACTGTGGCGCCGGGCTGTCTGGGGGTCATAAAGTCATTATGCTCTTATCAGACTTTATAAAGTATAAAGACGGTGTGATAGTTCAATAAAGCGCACTGCTCCACACTTTGCCTTGTCTGGTGTTTGGGGTAAACCTGCTATAAGAACCTATTCTTCTGGGTGTTCCGGTGGGGTACCAGGGCACATAACCAAAAGGATCACTTTCTGAAGGCAAATGCATTCATTTTATATACAGAGCACATCCTTCACTTGCTTGTCTAATAACAAAGGAGCCCACCAAAAGCCCCCCAAACTTATTGTTGCTTACAGATAAAACATATGTACGGCCTGAGAACTGGACCCGTGTCGCTCAAGCATGTTTACACTGCAGACTAGGGATGTCCCGATACCACTTTTTCAGGACCAAGTACAAGTACTTCCCCTCATGTACTTGCCGATACCAATTACCGATACTTGTTTTTTTGTTATTTTTAAAGGGACAGGTGACTTTAAATGATCCATAGTACAACTACATGTTCTGTTCTATGGATCATGGTTTAACCTATTCATGTTAGCAGGGGAGAATTGTAACTCTATTGCTGGAGTGTAGTGGAGTGTGCTGTATATATGTACTACATATACATTACACACGTCCAGTACACTATAGCAATAGATTTACAGCCAGCCCCGTCCCAGCTTCCCTCACTCACAGTTTCACTCCGATCCCTGTTGCCTCACGCGGTGCCTCTCGTAGTCGGGGCTGGGCAGGATCGCGTCTCGGTGCTCAGCTTGTGGGAGGCACTCACAATTCTCCGCTGCTAACATGAAGAGGTTAAATCATGATCCATAGTACATATACAGCACACATGTCCTGTACACTGCAGTAATAGAGTTACAATGATCCCCTGCTAACATGCGTATGTTAAATCATGATCGATAGTACATAATAGTACATAACATGTAGTTGGACTAGGGATCATTTAACCCATTCATGTTAGCAGGGGATCATTGTAACTCTATTACTGCAGTGTACAGGACATGTGTGCTGTATATGTACTATGGATCATTTAACCGATTCATGTTAGCAGTGCAGAATTGTAAATCTACTGCTACACTGCATTCTATATGTACTGTATATGTACTATGGATCATTTAACCCATTCATGTTAGCAGTGCAGAATTGTAAATCTACTGCTACACTGCATTCTATATGTAGCACATGTACAGTACATATAGAATGCACAGCAGCAGTAGACAAAAAACCAAGCCCAGGCCCCGTCTTACTCACTGTTGCCTCGATCGCGGTGCCTCACGATTTTCCTCACATGTGAAGACGTCGTTGCCGCTGAGTTGAAGAGGAGCGTCGCGTCACTGCTGCTCCGGTGGGGTCCTAATTTAGGTGGCCGACGACTGCCTGGAGCGCAGCCCACCGGAGCAGCAGTGACGCGATGCTCGGCGCGACGTGGCACGGTAAGTAAAAAAATAAACACAAACATAGCGCAAGCTTCGGCGCTTTGTATTGGGGCATTTTGACAAGTACAAGTACTTGTCAAAAAGTACTTGTACTTTTTGACAAGTACTCTGTGCTGCTCACCATGTTATAACATTGACCATAAGGTGGCAGCACTGATAAACCACCGTCAGTTTCGGCCATACTACAGTCAAAAGATGCCGCCAGCTACACGATTCTTTATATTAATTCTATAACGAAAAGTGGGAAACCAAAACCCAACATTGGAATAAAACACAAAATTACAACTAGACCATCAGGAATAGCACACAGCTCTTTATATATGAGAAGGTGGGTGGCCCTGAGAAGGACCTTTGTGTAGATGGAATAAGTGATCGGAGTGTAATTAGGATTTAACCCCCGAATCCGTAGAGAGTGCGTCCCTGGCGTTTGAGAGCATAGACGACATCCATGGCGGTGACGGTCTTCCTCTTGGCGTGCTCGGTGTAGGTGACGGCATCGCAGATGACATTCTCCAGGAAAACCTTCAGCACTCCGCGGGTCTCCTCATAGATGAGTCCCGAGATGCGCTTGACACCCCCTCTGCGGGCCAAGCGTCGGATGGCGGGTTTGGTGATGTCCTGGATGTTGTCGCCGAGCACCTTCCTGTGCCGCTTAGCGCCTCCTTTACCCAGACCCTTCCGGGGAGCTTTTCCGCCGGTGGGCTTCCGGGCTGTCTGCCTAGTTTTCGCCATTGCTGATCAATAAGCTTCTCAACTACACAAACGACATTAGAATGAAAAAGCCGAGTGAGGAGCGTCTATTTATACAGACCGAGCTACACGGTAATTGGCTACCTTAGACCACTCCCTCTCATTTTTATTGGACTATCCAATCCATAGTCAGATATCTATAGGGCGGAGCTTTACAAACATTAGGTCATCATGTGCGAGTTTTCCGGAGCACAAAGGTGAGAGCAGCGATATCCGGGAATGAGATGGTGGTCGGTCTGTAGCCGGATCGCCGTGTTTGTTCTAGAATTATTTTCTGTGTGATCACCAACACAAATCAGACATAAAATCCTCCTCAGCCAACAAGACAAATCACATTCAGATTAGAGATGTCCAGCTCATGAACGGATCCTTCTTTGGAATGGCAGTGTGTGACGTGCCAGTGTGGAATGTATAGCAGAGAGCCGCTCCTAGAGTGAGGGCTCAGCTTCTGCAAGCCCCGCCCACCGCTCCCTGCAACCAATCACATCTGTGAACCACACACCTTACAACCCTTGCAAGACTTTTGTCTTGTGAGGGTTGTAAAGTACTTAAAAAAACGTACGATCTGCCCATCTTGGACAGGCAGATCGTACTTGCGATCATCGCAAGCCCGCCCCGCTGAGGGGCGGGCTTCCGATGAGCGCAATGCTGAACGGGGATATAAGAACATGGAGGGGAGTGGCAATAAAAAAAAGAACCTGTCACAATGTAGCAGATATAAGACCATGGAGGTGGGTTGCAGCAAAAAAGAGAACCTGTCACAATGTCAGATATCCCAACTCTCCTGGACGCTCAGGGAGTCTCCCACTATTGGATAGCGGCTCCCGGCCGCCCGGGAGAGAAACACTTCCTCCCGGAAAGGTTTATCTGCTCGATCGAGCAGATAAACCTTTCCTTGCAATCGTTTTTTTTTTT